TAGCTTGCTGCTCTGTTTGGATTTCAGGCTGCTCTCGAAACTGAGCTTCCTCTCGCTCCCCAGGTTGACCCACAGCAAACCAGCTTGACATCCTGCGTGAACGTTCAGACTCTGGACCCTCGAGCCTAGAGACTTCCACAGCCGGAAGACTTTCACTTAGGAGTGAGAAAGGGCAAGCTAGGGTTATTAGGCAGTTTTAGGGATAGTGCAGGAGGGGACCTCTGAAAAATTTAGGGAGGCTTCAGAGATAAGGACAAGCAAGGAAAAGTAACCCATTCCATTAGGAAAAACAAACATGCCAGGACCAAGGAGAACATTGTTAATGCTGGTCCTGGTTTCCTTCAGGTGGTAAAGGGAGGCGGAGATTGGAGAAATGGAGAGTGGTTTAATTTATGGTCACATTAGAAGGGCAGCTGTTTAACTTCAATGCAGGGATGCCCATCCAGAAGACTGGGCCATAAATTTAAAGATGCAACAAATGGGGAAAGAGAAAGCTGTTAGATAAGGAATGTGAAGACCCCCACTCAGTAGCAAATTAAGTGAGACAGCCGAGAACTGACCAATCACAAAGAGACTGGGGCAGCTTTAGAATAATGAGGGGAAAAAGGTATATATTGCCTAAGACACGACTCCACTTTGGCTTCCTTGCCCCTCCCAGGCCTGGTTCCCTGGCCTGGGAGTCCCACTTTATTTCTGCTCTTTTCCTCCTCAATAAACTTTTTTCTTTCTATAAACGAACCTGCCTCTTCTCGCTTGCTTGCCTGAGCATCTGCGAAGTTCCTGCTGCGGCTTTGTGAGACACCAACCCTGGGGGGTCTAGTGGCTGGGGCTCTGCTCTGCCCTGCAGCCTGAGATCCGTTCCTGGCTGGGAGACTAGGCCTGACAATTCCGGTATCAGGAGGAAGATCCAACTAAGACACATCACGTCTAGTGTCTTCAGTCAAAAGTACTTGGGGAACATTGGGTTGGCTTACCCGTTTGAGTTTGAGTGTTTGTACAACTACAATAATACTCTCTGAGAGCCAACCGCAGATTGAAGCCTATTAATCACACACACGAGAAAAACAAATACCAAAGGGCACTAATCAAACACCCCAGGACTAGGGGCAACAGGATATTCTGGAACAAGAATGAAAAAGAAAAGTATGCTAAGATAAGGGCTGGGAAACAGAGACTTAGTTCTGGGTACAGAGACATTAGGGCAGTGAGTGAGACCACTGAGAACTAACCAATCACAAAGAGACAGGTGGGGCTGGTCAAAATAAGGGGATTGTAATTGTATGGGGAATATAAAAATATAAAAATAAAATTTAGGAAAAAAAATATAAATAAATAAATAAATCTCTAAAAAGAAAAAAAAAAAGAATAATTAGGGAAAAGAGATACATATTCGCTGAGGCACAACTCCACTTCAGCTCTCCCTGTTTCCACCAGCCTGGGAGTTCCACTTTATTTCTGGTCCCTTTCTCCTCAAAAAACTTTTTCTTTAAGCAAATCTGCCTCTTTTCGCTCACTTGCCTGAGCATCAATGAAGTTCCTGCTGTGACTCTGTGAGTCACCAACCCGTGGTGGCCTAGTGGCCTAGTGGCTGGGACTCAGCGCTGCCACTGCAGCCTGGAATCCATTCCTGGCTGGGAGACTAGGCCTGAAAACCTGAAATTATGGTATCATAATGTGAACTGAAGGCAATGCGAAATGTAGCCGATCACACAAGGCCTAAGCTTGAGTTAGCTCAGGAGGACAAGTAAGTGCTGTGGGAAAATTCCAGGCCAAAACAATAGAGTCCGGGTTCCTGTCAAAAATAAGATATGGGACCTCTCCTGTGGGCGCAGCGGTTGAGTACTGAGCTGAGAAGCTGCCCGCAGCCTCTGCAGTGCCAGTTTGATCCCTGGCCGCTGGGCAAGGGTCCCACATGGCTCGCAGACCTCTCCTGCCGCCCGCTGCTCCCCTCAGCAGTGTACTTCGTCGGTCTGCCTGTTTTTCTGGCTCTGGTGAATTCTCTCACCCTCTTGCGCTTCTGACTGTACCCAGTGCTTGTATAAATAAATAAATAAATAAATCTTAAAAAAAAAAAAAAAGAAAAGAAACTTAATTAAAAAAAAAAAAATAAGATGTATGCACCCTTTGTACCTCAAACATGGGATGTGGTGAAAAGCTCAGCTGCTTGTAATAGCACAGTTTGGCTTCTGTACCCCCGCTTGCTACGGCAGCTGCAAACACCCAGGTATGGTTTTTGCCTTTAAAAACCTTATCACCCCCTGCTCAGGGCTGCTCCCCATGAGAGGGACGGCCGCTGGCCAGCTCATAAAGGCTTTTTCTAAATTTGATTTAGACTCAGGTCTGTGTCTAGACTGCTTTTCTAAAACACTGGCGTTATTTTTAAAAAAAAATCACACCCCGCCAACAGATTAAAACCCTCCTATAACTTTCCATCATCTTTGTTACAAAATCCAAATCACTGGCAGAATCCAAAAATTCTCCCTAATCTCTTATTTTCTCCTTAGAATGAAAGAAAATTAGATTCTAAATTCCATGAAAGCAGGTCTCAGTTTTCCTACCTGCCTGAAGCAATATTTGGAGACTGACCATAAACAACATACAACATGCAGTGGTTTTGTTAGGGGGAAAGGATGTCCTGAGCTAATTCCATACAGGCTTTGTGGAATCCACCCCCAATCCAGACCAAAGCCATCAGGTCACTGGGAAAGACCAATCCCATCAGCACCAAAGGGGAGGTTGTTGGGACCTGAGGGTGGAGTTAAGCTGCCAGGTTTGGTATAAAAACCAGACACGTGGGCCTTGGGGTCGCTCTCTCCTCTTGGCTTCACGGCTGGTGGCTCGCGGCCAGCTCTCAGAGTGCCATTAGGATTCCAAGGCAGCGGAAAGGGTAGGACGCATTTAAGACTTTATTTTTCTCTTTTCTTCCTGAGTTGTACATTTCCTCATTTGCCCTTCCCTTGTAAATAAACCTTTTATTAACCTTTCGTGTGTGCCTGCAGTAGAGTATTAATAAGTCCTTTTAAGTGCACGGGTGAGGACCCACAGTCAGGCACCCCGTTTTACATCGGGGCTGCCCTGTAACAGTTTTTCAAAAATCAAAATTCCACTGAGTAGATTGGTTGTGGCAAGGTCACCTTTCTTTAGGGACAACAAGGGTCTATCAGGCAGATTACCTCACTAGTGCTCACCAGGTGATCCAGACTGACGGGTTTAAGATTCCATTCCAGGGAGAGACCGAATTGATGATTAAGTTAGGTAGTAAGAGCCCATTTCATAACCTGGGGCTTGGCACAGGTGGCTTCTCTTTGGATTGTTGTCTTGTTTTAATGCCTGTCTTGGTATCATTACTAAATTTAAAAACTAAGCCACCATTCCTTGCCTGGCAGGCAGGGTTCGGAGGCTTGAATGGATAAAGGGAGTGAAGAGGATTGCCCTGGAAAACTTGGGCCATCAAGCTGATGATCCCTTAATCTGATGATAAGTTATGCAAATTCAGATCATCAGTAGGGACCCACCTGAGATTAGCCACCCTCACCAACCCATGAATGTAAATAGGGCCTGGGGACCCTCTCTGAGGGCAGCAGACCTCCCCTGCCTTGCCTGCTGCTTCCTTCAGCAATGCATTTCAATAAATCCACTATGTCTCTGGTGAATTCTTTCATCCCCACACCACCAGTCTACACCGATTCTGTTCCAGGAACAATACCTTCTTTCTCTCTTCCTGCCCTGATAACGTATTACCAACTTGACCACTAGGTATGCAGCTGCTTATCTTATGTGGTTCCCTTATCTCTCCAGTCAGTTTTCAGTTGAATCTAATTCTAGTTCAGTGGCAGTTTATAGGAAGTCATCTTTACTCTTCCTGAATGGGCAAAGCTCTCTTGCCTATAAGTCCTTAGCTCCTTATGCTGTCCTCTGTCCAGATCCTCAGCTCTGCCTGTCTTTATGGCCATCTCCAGCTCTTACTGTTAGGGGGAAAGGATGTTCTGAGCTAATCCCATGCAGGCCTTGTGGACTCCACCCCCACTCCAGACCAAAGCCATCAGGAAATTGGGAAAGACAAATCCTGTCACCACCAAAGGGAAGGTGGCTGGGACCTGAGGGTGGAGTTAAGCAGCCAGGTTTGGTATAAAAACCAAACACGTGGGCCTTGGGGTCTCTCGCTCGCCTCCTGGCTTCCGGCTCCTGGCTCGCGGCCAGCTCTCAGGGCGCCATTTGGGATTGCAGATCTGCGGATCGGGTAGGACGCATTTAAAACTTAGTCTCCCATTTTTCTCCCCGAGCTGCACATTTCCTCATTTGCCCTTCCCTTGTAAATAAACCTTTTATTAACCTTTAGTGTGTGCCTGCAGTAGAGTATTGATAAGTCCTTTTAAGCGCACGGGTGAGGACCCACAGTCAGGCACCCTGTTTTGTTTCAGGGCTGCCCTATGACATTACTACCATGAAATCCTAGAGGGCATTGACTAGGTTGTTACAGCAGATGCTACATTGAATGCACAGGGGCCTCCCTGGTGGCACAGGGGTTAAAGACAGCGCTACCAAGCAATCACAGTCACTGCAGCGCAAGTTTGATCCCCAGCCTGCCAGGGTGGTGACCCAAATGGCACAGCAGACCTTTCCTGTCTCACTCACTGCTCCCCTCAGCAGTGTATTTCCGTCCGTCTGCCTGTTCTGCTCCCCACTCTGTCTCTGGTGAATCCTTTCACCCCCCACCCCTCTAACCCCAGTTCTTGCATGCATAAATAAATAAATCTTTTTTAAAAATTGAATACACAGAACAGTAGTTTAATGTGCTCACTTAATATATTATCTAGTTCGTTTGATACTCCAAAGCCCACTCAATTAAGGGGGTACAAAAGGTCCTATGAGAGAGTTTTGTAATTTGTGCAAGGTCTTGTAACAGGGTGGTGCCCAGGAAAGGGGGAGGTTCCAGGTTTCTTGCCCCACCCAAAAGGAGGGTGGAGCTGAGCAGGGAGAGAAAAAGCTGCAGAGGAGATTGAGGAAGGAAGCTGGATGGAGAGCAGGAGGAGACCTGGAGGACACATGGCGCCCTGAGAAGCCTGAAGAAACTGCACTTGCCTTTTGGCCGTGGCCTGGTTGACACAGATGTGGGTGAGAGACCCGTGGGAAGGCGACAATGGTGGTTTTTGTCTTGATTTTGATCTTTTCCTTTCAGACTTGTCTGGTTGGTACTGATCCTTTTCTGTGGGTCCCCAGGCTTTGGGGCCTTGCTCTGGGCCAATCCCATTTTTGGATGGACTTTTACCCCCGAGGGGACGGATAGCTTTGGGTGCTTGATTTAGAAACCATATTTTTTGTCTTTTCTGTATTGTTCACTAATTGTATTAAAGTTCCTTTCCACTGAAGTCTCATTTGTTTTGTGTTGATGCAGAGGATGGCAGAACCTATTTAGAGCAGGCAGGTTTGCGGGGTCTGGGGTGCGCCTCTCCCTGCCCTGTAACAGTCTCACAGCTAGTTAGGAACAAACTTAAATTAAAATCTAAAATGGAGACCTGTATTCTTTGACTATTCTCTCTCTCCCTGCCTCCCTTTCTCTCCTCCTCTTTTCCTTCCTCCTTTCTTTCTTCCCTTTCTCTCTCACTCCCCATCCCACTTAGATTTCCTATGAGTACACACACACACCCCCTTACTCACACTCATACACTCATATACACATGCTCCTGCATGCCACTATGAATGAATTCTCGTCAAGTTTTTTTTTTTTTTTTTTTTTTTTTAATAGAGGCATGTTTTATTTATTTATTTATTTGTTTGTTTGTTTGTTTTGTTTATACATGCACTGGGTACAGTCAGAAGCATGGAAGGGTGAGAGAATTCACCAGAGCCAGAGCAGGGTGCAGAGCAGGCAGAAGGACCGAAGTACACTGCTGAGGGGAGCAGCGGGCGGCAGGAGAGGTCTGCGCGCCATGTGGGACCCTCCTCCAGTGGCCGGGGAGCAGCCAGGGATTGAACCGGCGCCGCAGAGGCCGCGGGCAGCGTCGCAACCCAGCGCTCAACCACTGAGCCACCGGGGAGACCCACGTCAAGTTTTAATGTTTGTTTTTTTCCTAAGTTCTAATGTTAACCAGACATTTTAACCACAGAGTGCTGATATGTCTCTAAAAAATTCTTTCAAAAAGCATTTTGTAAGACATTTGTAGATTTAAGAGATACATTTTTATTTAACCACTGAAATCTTTGTGAACGTTCAGTTTGTTATTTCTAGAAATGCCAGAATTTCCTTGGGAAACATCCCCCAACTAAAGAAAGGCTGATGCAGTCTTGTAAAAATCTGTGTTGCAATAGTTGCTGTGTCACTGGGAATCACTGAAGAGATAGGGTTAAGAGCACAAATGAGCTGCAAACCATATATGGTTTGTTCAAAACCGTTTGTTCAAACTTGTGATGTACTCACGTTCTGGCTTCCTTTTTGTCAAAGCAGAGTGAACTGTGCTTTCAAAACTGGGACAGGCTGACTCAGAACTACAGTGGCTCTGGATTCCAGCTTCCCAGCTCCTTGCCTGACTGAGCATGCACATCACAGGTGTTTGGATACTTGGGGTGATTTCTTTAGCTTCCAGTTATGCACACAAAGAAAATACTTTGCCAGATATTGAAAATGAAGATTTTATCAAAGACTGTGTTCGAATGCATAACAAGTTCCGCTCAGAGGTGAATCCGATAGCCAGTGATATGCTCTACATGGTAAGGCAAATATCGGTATTTGTGATAAGTCAGTCGAAACAATTATAATGTAATTTGATTTTGGAAGCAAATCCTTCATAATCTTGAATGACTTTTTCATTGTGATTAATGTGTGTAATAAATTCAGTCTGATCAAAACATACCCAACTTAGCTCTGTCTACTCAACTCTTGTTAGAAGCAAGCTCAAAAGTGCATTTTCGTTTCTGGACAAGTCATTTCCTCTGATTATAGATACATTTGTGTGTGTGTGTGTGTGTGTGATTAAAATTTGTGACTTTTTTTGTGACTTTGTTTTATCTCATATTTTGTGAAGTTTTTAATTGTTTTATCTCTTAATTTTTTTGTGTGTGTGACCAGCAGAGTACTGACTTTCTCAGGAACACGGCCTGTCATCTAGGCTAAGGATGGGATTTTGACTCAGTTAGGCCTGAGTTTGAATCTCAGCTCTGTGGCTCTGAATTGGTTTTTACCCTTACTGATCTTCTTAGAATATAGGCATTGTGGTTATTAAATTATAAAAATATTAAAAACAGCACACAGAGTTTTACATAGGCCTTCAGTGAAAGTAAAGGCTATGTCCCTCACCTGATTCTACATTCAATAAAACAAAATTGTCATGTGTCTTACTTACCAGTGCCAGTCAGTACTTTTTTTTTAAGATTTATTTATTTATGCATAGAAGAACTGGGGTACAGGCCAGAGGTGTGGGGCTGAGAGGATTCACCAGAGACAGAGTGGGGAACAGAATAGGCAGATCTACTGAAATACACTGATGAGGGGAGCAGCAGGCGAGACAGAAGAGGTCTGCTGCACCACGTGGGTAGCTCCCTGGCCAGAGATCGAACTTAGGCTGCAGTGGCTGCAGATAGCTTCATAGGTTGCGTCTTAACAACTTGTGCCACCAGGGAGACCCCAATAGTTTCTATTCTTAACCTTCTTATTATTTAATATTTATTTTTGCAGAGTTGGGACCCAGCTTTAGCTCAAATTGCAAAAACATGGGCAAAAGAATGTTTGTTTAAACATAACCCACGTTTATCCCAGAAGCTACATACAAATTTCCATACACTGGGTGAAAACATCTGGACTGGGTCTCTATCTGCGTTTTCTGTGTCATCAGCCATCACATCCTGGTACAGTGAAGTTGAATACTATGACTTCGAAGATAGAAAATGCACCAGAGTCTGTGGCCATTATACTCAGGTAAGTATTTGCCCTATCCCTTCTTGAAACCATCTTTTGAAGGATGAGAAGAAAACTGAAATCCAATGTTAAGAAAATATATAGTAAGCCAGTGCATATGTGAATATGAGACGCTAGGGGTTACAGGCACACTTTAAAATAAATAAATTGTTAGAGCTGGAATTAAGGCTAGAGTTGAATTAAGCCTACTTTAGTGCTTGACCAAGAACTCAGGTGTGGGGAAGGTTAGCTTTAGGGTTAAGAGTAGAATTTGGATTAAGTCTCGGCGTAGACCTAGTGTTAGGTAAGGATAAAATTTAAGTCTAAGGCTATAATCCAAGCTTGAATTAGGTTAGGATTAATGTTAATTAGCACTAGGGTAAGGGTTAAACTTAGTATGCAAACTTGGTCAAATCAAAGTCTCTGAAACAGTGTTTCCTGTTCTGTGAAATGATGACAGGTTCTACCTGATAGTGTTGCTATGTGGGGAAGTTTACTACTGCATTGGAAGACTCCAAAATATAATGAAAAAATGATATATTTGTTTCAGATTCTATTTGTCCTTAATAAAGCTAAGGTTGCGGCTCTTTGATTAAAATAAACAAAATAAATGGAACAGACTCTCATACCAGAACAGATAGGACTAGCAGAGTTTAGCTATGTGGACATTGGTGTAAGACACACCAGTCTAGACTAACTTGGAACAATTGTGAAAATAGCTCTCTTCTGGGCCTCCCTGGTGGTGCAAGGGGTTAAGCACAGCACTATGAAGCAATCCATAGCCTCCACAGCACGAGTTTGATCCCTAGCCAGGGAGCTACAAACATGGCGCAGCAGACCTCTCCAGCCTCACCCAGTGTTCCCCTCAGTAGTGTATTTCAGTCAGTCTGCCCGTTCTGTTCCCCACTCTGTCGCTGGTGAATCCTCTCAAGCCCCCCCACCCCCTCCCAACCTCTGGCCTACACCCCAGTCCTTGTATGCATCATTAAATATTAAAAAAAAAAAAAGTGCTCTTCCTATAGACTTGGTTCCATTTATAAACAATCAAAGAGCATTATGACTGATGATTTACAAGTATGAAATTTGAGGTAGTTGTTTTGGGTCTATAAACCCTAGAAAAATAAGCCTCTCAGACAGAGGCTTATTATTATTATAATAATTGATGCTTCCATAGCTTTTTTTCTTTTCAATGATGGGCTGAGATCCTACGCCAAGCCACAAAAGGAGGAAGAACAAAAAACGTAGTCCCAGTTCCGCTGGATAGGTCAACATGGAAACTTCTACAGGCCATCCTGTGGCTATTCTGCTCTCCAAATCTATATTAGACTCATTAGCTACCTTCAGAGCTTCAGAGCAAATGATTTTACTCAAGCTGGTTTTAGCTTCCTCACCCTAACTCAGGTTGGCACCATGATGGAAACCAGTCTCCAGGCAGCAGCTTCACAGTCTTCTAGTCTGTCTTCTGCTTCCTGTCCTGGCCACATCTTGCTTATTTGCTGTGGTTGCCTAGCAATCATTGCTGAAACAACAGATTAAATTACTGAACCTGTTTGACTGGCATTAGTGTACAAGAGTGTTAAAATGAACTATGATATTTCTAAAAATGTAGTTGGAATATTAATCTTTTTTTTTTTTTATGCAAGAACCGGGGTATAGGCCAGATGTGCGGGAGGGTGAGAGGATTCACCAGAGACAGCGGGGAACAGAACAGGCAGATTGACTGAAATACACTGCTGAAGGGAGCAGTGGGCCAGACAGGAGAGGTCTGCTCGCCATGTGGGTTGCTCCGAGGCCAGCGGGGATCGAACCAGCACTGCAGAGGCTGTAGACTGCTTCACAGCGCTGTACCCAACTACCTGCGCCACCAGGGAGGCCCTGGAATATTAATCTTAGTTTTGTTTTCATCCCCACCTGAACCCTACCCCCATGTTTTTGAAATTTTTTTAGCTAGAAGGGAGAGATATGCCTATTCCCAACTACAGTGTTTTTGTGAAAAAGGTATAGGGACTCTTTCTTGGTTCTGTTAAAAGGGAAGCCATCTGAAGCAACTTCCTGAGGGTGTAGACTGTCCTCACAGGACTTTGCCATCAAATAGAATCAGGGTGCAATTCTTAACTATAAAATGGTGGGCAATTACTATTTATTGACTTGTTATGAGGTTAACATGATGTTTCATGTAAAGTGCTGGCATGAGGTAAATTGTCAATGAGTAGTTCCTATTATTACCTTATTAAGAAAGATGAAAAGAAAGTATACAACAGAATTCTCCCTGATTAAAAAATATATTTTAAAGGAGAAGAAAATTAATTATAGGAGAATAAAATGTGAACATTTGCTGAGTGTATGCTGTGTTCCAGAAGTTGTTCTAAGTACTTTCTTATTAGCACATTTAAACATCAAAATAAACATATGGGGGTTGGTACTGACATCCTCACTTAAGAGATGAGGAAGCTAAGACCAAGGTCACATACTGAGGTGCTGAGCTACGCTAGGAATGCAGACTTTGCAGCTCCAGAGCACACAAGTTAACACAGAACCTGAATGTCCACAAAATTTTTTAAAAGACACCAACTTGGATAATTTGGAGCAGACGTGCAATAAATATTTCTGAGCAAGAAAAAGGAGTGACGACTAATGAATTAGACAACATAAATGAATCTCAAATTCTTACATTAAGTAAAAAAAGCCAGCTTCTAAAAGCTACCTTTAAACAGATTCCAATTATATGACATTCTGGAAAAAGCAAAATTACAGACTCAGAAAATAAATTAGTCATCTGCCAAGAGGGTTGGTGGGATTGATCACAAAGGGGCACAGGAAATTTTGGGGGTGATAAAAATGTTCTAGATGCTGAATATGGTGGTGGCTACACAACTATGTTCATTGTCAAAATTCATAGAACTGTACACTGCAAAAAGATGGATTTTATGTTAATTATATTAATTATAACTTGACTTTTAAAAAGAGACCAACTAAAACACAAAATAAATGCTAACTAATATTTGCACACTCTTGGAACAAAAAGACTAAAAATATGTAAGTAGACTAAAAGATAAGCATAAATCATTAAGGACATGGGTGGGGGTGAGGTGGAGGATGCAAAGAGTAAGTATACTTAAGATATAACAAAACTCCCAACAGAAAAAATTGCCAAAGGATCAAAATCATAAAATAAGCGAAGGTGATCTAAAAGGAATACAGAAAACATGCCACCTATGAGCATGCCTATGAATCACCTGTGAAAATATAGATGTTGACAATGCCAGTGACTGTCATTCAGCAGGTCTGAGATGGGCACAGAAATCTGCAGAGAGCATCCCAGTTGAAATCACCCTTTGAAATGCAGCGAACAGAAATTAAGAACATTTTGAAATAAATGCAAATAGGATTGGAAAGTAAAACTACAAGGATTAAATGTTAAATGCCCCCATAAAGCGAGGCTCTCACAGCGAGACAAAGCACGTGGTTACCTGGCATTGTCTGTGCCAAGGGAAATTTTCCTCGATACACCCCACTTGAAGCAGCAAGGACGGGGGCCATCCTTTGAGAAAAGAGAGCACTGCTCTCTTGGAAACCAGCAAGTTTCCTTCCTATAGCCTCCCCACGTTCCCAAACAGGGAGACAATGCAAAGAGCAGCAGCCTTCCTTGACTATCACCTCCCAGCAGCTTGTGTGTGTGTGTGTGTTTGTGTGTGTGTGAGTATATACATATATTTATGTCAGATTAATTTAACAAGTTTATGTATATAGGACAATTAACACAGGAAATGTTATTAAAGTTCAAGTTTTCCCAAACATCATAAGAAAAACAGTTATAAACACACAAGTTTTTCTTTCGGTTTCCTACGCTGATTTCTGCACTGTGCTTTCTTTCATACTCAACTGCTAGGGGGGCAGGGAGCCGGGTCTGACTTGTTCACCCCTCTAAGCCCACGCCTCCCACTGTCAGGAACCTCTCCGGTGTTCAACAAGTGCTATAGAGTCATCGACTGTACTAAGAATAACTTACACGTATGCTCTGTTTATAAATGCGGGAGCATTTTTATAAATGCTATCTGGAGACACTGTTGGTTTACTAAACATATACTTTTTCTGCAACCACACTGGCCTGGCCTCGCCTCAGGTCTGCCCTCTGCTGGAGACTCCCGCTCAGCCCAGGGGGCAGGGGCTACTCAGCCTCAGCCTCCAGCCTCTCCCCTGCCTGCTCTTAGTATTTCCTCAGCGCCCTCAGCTTTCCCTTCTCTTGGCCAAAACTCCTGGCTAGGGTTTCATGCTCTACAGTTTGTGAAGGAGCCCACTGGCTCCACCGTATTTACCTTTGACTCTCCCATAGTTGGCACAATTGATGGCACAAAATTGCTTAAGAATTATTAATAAATAAATTGCATAAAAATATTGATACTTTTAAAGTGCAATTTCATTGCAAAAAGGCATGTAATTTCACTGCTGCCTTATCACCAGACACTAGCATTTTAAACAGTATTTTTTTTAATTAATTTATTTATACGAGCACGGGGTACAGTCAGAATTGCGGGAGGGTGAGAGAATTCACCAGAGCCAGAGCGGGGAGCAGAGCAGGCAGAAGGACCGAAGGACACTGCTGAGGGGAGCAGCGGGCGGCAGGAGAGGTCTGCGCGCCATGTGGGACCCTCGACCGGCGGCCGGGGATCGAACCAGCGCTGCCAGAGGCTGCGGGCAGCTTTGCAACCCAGCACTCAACCGCTGCGCCACTGGGGAGGCCCCAGACACTAGCATTTTAAAGATTTATTCTTTAGGCTTCTGTGACACTGACCACTCTTGGCTGAGGCCAACTGGATAATTGGTGGAATTTTAATGCAGAATGAAAATGTTTAAAAGTCAAGGCGAAAATGCCAGTAAAGGTGTTAAATGCGTGACAGCACTGGATTCAGCTACATGTGGAGCACCTCTGCCCAGCTCCCTCTCTGAAGCGTCTCTGTTCATGGCTTTCCTCCCATGTCACTGACCATTCCTTTCAATCTGCTTTGCTGGTGGAGTGCCAAGGAAGAAACCCCTCCCTCTGGTTCTTCTTGGGTTGGACAAATAGTGAAAACCACATCAGAGAGGTTAGCAAAGGAAAAAGTAAATTTCACAATGAAAAGGAGGGGGGAGGAGGGCGGGCTGAGAAATTATGCAAGTCCTGATTTCAGCCAGAGAAAAGGATATAAATTCTGAGTTAAGGGCAGGGGTGACAAGGAGAGAGGAGGGGAACTTCATCTAACAAAACCTTGCCGCCTTGAGATTACCCTGCCTTAAGGCAGGTTTCTTTGATACAAAGCTTGTTTTTGGAGCTTTTGCTGAATCTCAGCGTAGGGTAAATTAGTCAGGCTTTTGTACCTCTGGCCTCTGTGGCTATCACCTGCGGCCTTGATCATGCTAATGCAGAAGGCGCTGGGGGCATGGGCGGGGCACGCATGCCTGATGGTGGCCACCTGGAGTGTGCTGTGGGCATGCGTGAGTGGCCACAGCTGGGCCTGGAGGCTGCAGCTAGAAGGGTGGTGTCACTCAGACAAAATGGCTACGGCAGAAGGGCTACGAGAGGACGCCAGGGAGAGCCCAGAGAGAAAAGCATAAAGATTTGTCAGGAGCCAGGCCCCTCTGCCTGCCTGCACTACAGCTGGCACAGTCAGCAGGTTGATGCCACACAGATGAGTATGGAGCTCTCTGAAGACCTCCGGGCAGGGGATGGGGAGACCTGAGGCGTGGCGGCCGGCCTCCTCTCTGTGGGCGCCTCCACAGTCTCCGGTGCAGGTAGAGAGGACTCTGCACACAGTGGGGAAGACAGTGGACAGACACCGTGCCTGCTGGGAGGCAGGGCTCGGGGATAAGAGTTCCCTCACAGCTCTGCAAATGGAGTTGAGGACAACACTGGAGGCGTCATGGCGTCACAGGGGGTGGCCAAAGTCGAGGAGCTGCAGAAAGAGCTAAAGACGCTACAGGCGCAGAGGAGGTGGACAAGGCCCGGGAACTTTGGGGCAAGGTATCCAGAAGAGGAAAAGACACCCCCGAGAACCAGCCCATGACCCCTGAGGCAGCAGATTTACCGGGGAAGAGGACCAGGGTTCAGCATTGGGAGCTCGCCCAGTGGTGACATGAAATTAAAAACTGATGGACTTGGACTAACGGTTCTGCCAGAAGGTGGGAGAACTTTGGCAGGTTGATGTTATGTCTCTGGGATCTGGGGGTGGAAGGGACCGTTTGTACATCCCAGGAGATGAAAACCAAGGGTGGCCTGTGGGCCTCAATGGCCTGGCACTCCCAGGGCCACAGCCTGGAGTGGCAAGGGCCCCTGTGGGCAGGTTAGGGAGGGGTCGGGGGCAGACGTGTGAGCAGCCCAAGGCTGGCTGAGGAAGTCCTCGCCAAGTACTCTGAAGCCATGCAAGAGATGTACCAAAAAAGCCAACTTAGTGCAGGAGTCTGCTTGTCTCATTGGTGGCTATGAAGGCCAAGTGTTGCAGTGACAGTGAGAGTATCCCTGGGGTATCCTGGGGTAATTGAGTGATTACCCCCTTAACAGTATAGAATGTTGCCAATCTCAGAGTGTGAGTTCGTTCTAGGGGTGGATACGTGTATGGCTTGTGGCTGAGACCAAAGCTGGAGAAGGCCAGGAAGCCTGAGGCTCCAGGCTTGTGAAGGCAGCTTCCATGAGTGACTAGTGGTTCCCTCTTGTATGAGTATTGCTTTTGGCAGCAGGCTTGAAGGATCATCTGCTGGTGCTAATAATTTTGGGTTTTTGCCCCTGGGTTTGTGCCCTAACACCTTAGTGCCTCGACTTGGTTGTATTCTGTTGTATTCGGTTGCATCGTTTACTTTTGTGGGTCATGGCTGCTGGTTCACATTCACCGAAGGAAACTTGTGGGTATATTGTATAGTGAAAAACCCTCAGGTGGTAGGATTGTAGGGTAAGTGAATTGGTCAGGCTTTTACGACACTGGCCTCTGTGGCTACCACCTGTGGCCTTGAATACAGGAGGTGCTTGGAAGTGTGGGCGTGAGGCACGTGTGCCTGATGGACACCTGGAGTGTGATGTGGGCATGCATGAGTGTGCACCCCTGGGCCTGAGGCTATAACCACTAAGTCAGTGGGAGACAGCTGTGGTGGAGAAAGTCTACGAGAGGACGGGTGACTACAGAGAGGCGGGAGCAAGAGATGACACCAAAGAGCCCGAAGAGAAAAGAGCACGGATTTACGGGGGTCTGGGAGGCCTGCCGCCCTTGTGCCACCTTCCCCCATTGTCCCCGCCCCCTGCCTGCCCAGCGCCTGGTTGCCCACTACACTCAGTAATTGCATTCTTTAAGAAATAAGTTTCCCCAGAGGAGGAAACTTGGGATTCAATTCACCTTGGGTCCCCATACCAAGGTGACACATTGGAAAAAGCCTTCTCTGGGCAACTTGGGGAAAACCTTTCTGACCCTTTTCGGGAAACTGGCTGAACATCCTTTCTTCTTCATCCCATGATCTTATTAACTTTATTTTCTTTGACTAAGTGATCTAATCTAGCCCTGTGATGCCATATTTTTCTCTCTAGCCTTCACCTGTCTTCTGACCTGCAGAGGTTATTGCAGCAGCAAAGCCCATCTTCAGGTGGATGTTTATTAGACAGCTCAACAGCAACCTCAGCAGAGCAGAATCCCTCATCATGCTCCCACCTGACCCTCCTACCCTAATCTACCCCCTTAATGTAAATGTTGCTCAAGCCCAAAATACTAACTTGACTTTTTCCCCTCTTACCCCATGCTCAAAAGCAAAGCAAATCCTTCCAGCATTATGTCCAAGCAGAACCATGAACCTGATCTGTTCTCAGGGTCTGTACTACCATCAGGAAAGTGTGTTCTTCTCTCTTTATGTACCATTGAAATCACCTCCCAAATTCCCTCTCTTCTCTTGCTCTCTGCAGATCATTCACTTCCAAACAACCGAAGTGATTTAAGATGAAAATGACCCATATCATTCACTGATCTCGCTGCTTCTCCACAATCCCTTCCTTGTTGCCCCCATCTCTCCCCCACTCATTGGATCCCAGCTCTAATTGCCTTTCTGCTGCTCTATAATGTGTAGGGTAAATGAAACAATTAGGCTTTATACGCCACTAGTTTCTGGGGCTATCACCTGTGGCCTTGGTGGTGTTGATGCAGAAGAGTGGGCATGGGCATGCGTGCCTGACTGGGGACACCTGGAGTATGGGTGTGCATGCATGTGCAAGTGTGCACACCTGAGCCTAGGGGCAATGCTAAAAGCTGTGGCAGCGACAGCTATGAGAGGATTAGTCTCTTCTGTGACTACAGAAGAGGCAAGATCACAAGAGAACACCAGAGAGAGCCCAGAGAAAATGTAAAGTTTTGTGGGGTCTGGGATGCGCCATTGCCTGCCTACCACCCAGCCCAAACCCCTTGCGGACCTATGCCTGCCTCCTTCCATGACAGCCTCCCTGCCTGGTGAGCCTGTGTACCTGATTCCCTAAGAAAATTATGGTAGTCTCTTTCCCTCTTCCTTGCCCTAATAATTAGTCTTGTTTCCAGGTTAATCCTAAGTGCTCCATGATGATGTCTATGAAGGCCTACTCATACTCAAATGTTCATTTATTGTCTCCCCTTGTTAAAAATCTTTATTTTCTATTTTCTTTCAGGTTGTTTGGGCAAATAGTTACAAAGTTGGCTGTGCAGTACAGTTTTGTCCTAGAGTTTCTGGTGTTCCGTTTTCCAATGCAGCCCATTTTATATGCAACTACGGACCAGCGTAAGTATCCAAATCAATCTTTTTTTTAAAAAAAGATTTATTTTTATTTATACAAGAGCTGGGGTACAGGCCAGATGCGCGGGAGGGTGAGAGGAGTCACCAGAGACAGTGCAGGGAACAGAACAGGCAGACGGATGAAATACACTGCTAAGGGGAGCAGCGGGCCAGACAGGAGAGGTCTGCTCGCCATGTGGGTTGCTCCGAAGCCAGCGGGGATCCAACAGGTGCTGCAGAGGCTGCAGACAGCTTCACAGTGCTGTGCTCAACTGCCTGCGCCACCAGGGAGGCCCGCCCAAATCAGTCTTTCTAAATATTAAATAATTATTTTGGAAGTGTTTATTTTCATTATAGAAAATCTTTAAAACAAAGTATAAGAATTAATATTACCCTTAGTTGCTCTGCTCAAGATTTACTCCATTACCATCCTGGTAAATTTTTCTTTGGGTGAGTTTTTGTGTCTCTATATATGTGCAAGCTTCATAGACACTACATAAATACACACACAAAAATACATATTAAGAATATCAAGACTAACATGTCTTCAGGGACAGAGATTATTTGAATATGGTAATAATACCACAACATTGTACCATTGCCTGCCAATGGTGATTATTTTTGTTATGGGGTATGTAGGGGCAGGATGAGCACAGAGCAGGTTTTCTGATCTGACAGATGGGTAAAGGAGAGTCTTGGAACCCTCAGTGGCTTTCTTAGGCTTTTATTGAGCTGTTACATGTAGAGCCAGGTACATGTGGGGAGGGGGGGTGAAAGGAGGCCAGCAGGCAAGTTTTCACTCTGGGTTCCTCTGGCCTCTTTCTCCCCTTCTCTCTCCTACCTCTGTTGCTCTTGGTGACTACCTCAATACTCCTCCCACAGAAGTAAACAATACAGCAGTGTAACAACTGCAGCCCCATCAGGCAGGGCACTCATAATGGTGGGAGGGCAGAAAAGCCTGAAAACCATTTACCCTACAGGGTATTAATGTGAATTCTTCTGGTGTAGACTCACTTTCCTTGCCTTCAGTTATAAACAATATTAAATTGTAAAAACTTATAACCAAAGTTACATTGTTTCTATAAAGAATGCACAACCTCAGGCATTTAATGTCAGTGTTTACTGAGCTTTGCAGAACAACTCAGACATAGTTCCTGCTCTGGGGGAGGGGAGCGGAATAGGCAAGTCCTTATTTGACATAAAATGATCAGGGAAGGGCTTCCTGTGATGTATTTAAACTTAGGAAATAAGAATGAAAAGGAACCAGACAGGTAAAGCATTTCAGGAACTGATCTCTGATGGGGAAAAGAGCAACAAAGCTCTTATGCAAGGATTCGGGGTTGGAGAGAAGATGGGGTGCTGGGGTCAAGGAATGAGACGGGGGTTGTGGAGGAGCTTGGATGTTGCAGGCCTTGTCCGTGGCAAGTTTAACTTTATTCGCATCACAGGAGAGACCATCCAAGTATTAAGCAAAGAAGTGGCAAAACTTGCTCGAAATTTGGGGATCGTTCTGTGTGAGGTATGGAAAATGGGTTAGAGGGCCTAGGGGGAGGATACACAGACACTTCTAAGATTCTCTTTTCTTGCATACACAAAACATTTTCAGCCCCCATTGCTTCTGTGAATCATATGGCCTGCTTATTTTTCTAATTACATCTTTTCAGTTCACTAAGTACAATATCTTCCCCAATATTTCTGAGATTTCATCACAATGGAGTGTGGAGTGGTTAATTCCCCAGTCACCTGTAACTCAAGCTCTGGAGTCATGCACTTTTTTTTCAAAGATTTTATTTATTTATTTATTTATTTATTTATTTATTTATTTATTTATTTATACAAGAGCCAGGGTACAGGCCAGATGCGCAGGAGGGTGAGAGGATTCACCAGAGACAGAGCAGGGAGCAGAACAGGCAGATGGACTGAAAGTACTGCTGAGGGAAGCAGCAGGCGCGACAGGAGAGGTCTGCCACGCCGCGTGGGACCCTCGCCCACTGGTCGGGATCAAACAGGCGCTGCAGAGGCTGCAGACAGCTTCCCAGCGCGGTGCTCAACCGCCTTCGCCACCAGGGGAGGCCCTGGAGTCATGGACTCTTGAGGACATTTTTGTCACCTTCTCTTGGCTCCTTCCAATCTCTCTGATCTGCATTCTGTGAAACTCCTTATCTGAGATACATGGCTCTCTTCTTCATTCCCTTGGGACCCACTGAGCAAAGCTACAATGTATCATAAACCTTCCCTCAAGAGTAAATTAGAAGAGAGGAAATGACAACCTCGACTATACCCTAGTGCAGTACCTAAGTACTTAGGCCACCACTGCCTTCGGGACCCCTGTCCTCTCCTTGAAAGGATCTTTTTTCATTTCCAGAATCTTAGGCCCCAATCCTTTATCTCTCAGATAACCAGGATATAGTGGCAGGATGGCCACAGAGCAGGTTTTCTATGATTCAAGCAGACCGGGTAAAGGAGAATTCTGGAACCTTTGGTGGCTTTCTCAGGCTTTTATTGAGCTTTTACATGTAGTGCAACAATGGGGTACATGGCAGGGGTACATGGCAGGCAGGGGTGCAGGGGGTGCCAGGAGGCTGGCAGGCCTCAAAACCCAGGGCAAGTCTTCACTCTGGGCTTCTTTCTCCCCTTTCTCCTGCCTCCTCTCCTGCTTCTGCTTCTCTTGGTGACTATCTCCATACTCCTCCCATGGCCAACAGAAGTAAACAACACAGCTTACAACAATGTAACAACTGCATTAGGGCACTCCTAATGGTGGGAGGGCAGAAAAGCCTGAAAACCATTTACCCTACAGAGGGGAAAACACTAAAACTTTCTGCTTTATTGCACAGAATGTTTTGGGACCCCTTGTTTTACTCCCATCTAGACGAACGAAGACCCTTCCATTTTTATGGTTCTCCCAAGATGATTTGTCATTTCTCTAGAACTCACAAATGGTAGCACTTAAACAACTAAATGAGTATTACGCTTTTTAATTATGAACTATATGGCAATGATTAACTTTCATCTATTAATGAATAACAGACATCTATCATAATTGCTATGAGAATCTCTGCTACATTCCTTTGAATTTTCCATGGTATATTTTCCCTGGTACACAGTTAAAATACAAAGGTACTATTAATTTCTGGAGCAATCTAAACTAACTTGAGGTGAAATGACATTAGAACATATGTTTTGGGTTGGAAATGAGATGTTTTTGCAATAAAATTACAATCCAAAGTAATGTCTCTTAAAAGTTCTTAACTTTGGAGCTAGAAGGGAACCCATGAACATGAATAAGAATAAAGTTACATCTTTTTTTTTAAAAGATTTATTTATTTAAGCATGCAAGAACTGAGGTACAGGCCAGAGGTGTATGTGGGAGGTGTGTGAGAGGATTCACCACAGACAGAGTGGGGAATAGAACAGGCAGACTGACTGAAATACACTGCTGAGGGGAGCAGCAGGCGAGTCAGGAGAGGTCTGCTGTGCCATGTGGGTTGCTCCCTGGCCAACTGGGGATGGAATTCGTGCTGCAGTGGCTGTGGACAGCTTCACAGTTTGCGTCTTAACCCCTTGTGCTACCAGAGAGGTCCTAAAGTTACATCTTGATGTTTACTAATCCATACTGAATATATTTCATTACAAATGAAGAAAACACTCCACATTCATGATTGCAATACCTGTGACTTTGCATTTGCACTACCTGGATCTCTGTAAGTGTCAGATATTTTCTTCTTTTTTTTAAAGACTTATTTATACATATAAAGAACTGGGGTGTAAGCCAGAGGTGTGAGGGGGTGGTAGGATTCACCAACGAGAATGGAGAGCAGAACAGGCAGATCTACTGAAATACACTGCTGAGGAGAGCAGGGGGCAAGAAAGGAGAGGTCTGCTACACCATGTGGGTAGCTTCCTGCCTGGCTGAGGATTGAACTCATGCTTTAGTGGCTGGGGATAGCTTGATAGTGCCATCTTTAACTCCTGCACTACCAGGGAGGCCCAAATGTCAGATATTTTCATTTTATGTTCTAGTTGCTGCAGATCTCCAAGTTTTTGTTCACTGTTTTGAAATTAGACTTCTATCACATTTTAATGATCAAAGTAAGCAGTTTCCTTTATAACCCTATATATTTAACTCTGCATTTTAAAAAACTATTTATATATATTTTACATCACTGTTCATTTTTAAACAATGTTTGCCTCCCCGCTCAGGTGTAGTCCCCATAGAATTCCCTCCACCAACTCCCCCGTGCACCATCACCACCATCCCCTATGCTACTCTGTCCCTCCCTCTGATCACTCTCCCTCCCCTGCAGGATACCTCTGGTTTATAATTGTCTCTTTTGTTCTGTATTATTTTTTTCCCTAATGTCTTACTTAGTCCCCCTATATTCCTCCTGTAAGTGAAACCATCCAATATTTTTCTTTTTCCTTTTGACGTATTTCACTGAGCATAATTCCTTCTAGCGTCATCCATGTTGCTGTGAATGGCATTAATTTATCTTTTGATTGCTGAATAGTATTCCATTGTGTATATATACCCCATCTTCTTGATCCAGTTATCGATTTTTGGGCATTTGGGCTGTTTCCAGGTTTTGCCTATTGTAAATAGTGCTGCAATAAACATAGGGGTACAGGTGTGCTTTTGAATCAATGTTGTTTGTGTCCTTTAGGTAGATCCCTAACAGTGGAATTGTCAGGTGGTATGGTAGCTCCATTTTTAGTAGACTGAGGAACCTCCACACAGCTTTCCATAGTGGTTGGACCAATTTGCACTCCCACCAGCAATGTAGGAGAGTTCCTTTTTCTCCACACCCTTGCCAATATTTGTTGTTGCTAGTTTTTTTGATATGTGCCATTCTCACTGGGGTAAGGTGGCAATGAGTCTTTAAAGATGTTACTGAGATGTATGTATGTAGGGTTTTACCTATATTTTCTTCTTTGTATTTTATGGTTTCAGGTCTTATGTCCAGATCTTTTATCCATTTTGAGTTGATTTTTGTGCACGGTGAGAG